CCAAGCACATGTACACCATCAGCAAAACCAACAATTGATTTTTTTTTTCAACTCCAAATCCATAAAGTCACACGACCGCTTGAGCAACAGCGTACCTGGGCCAGCGTATAGACGTTGTAGCCGTTGCCATACCACAGCACGTGGCGAATGGTGAGCAGATCCACACCCGTGCTGAGGCAGCTGGTGGCCACAATGACGTCGCATTCACCCCGTTGCCACCGTGCCACATGGTCCTTTTGCACCTTCTCCTCCAGGTCGGTGTAGTAGGGCAAGGCCATGTAGCCGTATGCGTGCAGCTGGTCACACAGCAGCTTCACCTCGTTCACGGTGTCACAAAAGACCATCATGTGCACACGCTCCCCATTCGCCTGACGCATCATCCGCTGCGTGTCCACAATGGCTTGCACATGCGACAAAAAGTTTAGCTGGTTTCCGTGAAGCACACGCAGCTGCAGATCGCGACGCATCGTCTCTAGACGGTACACCTTGCCCCCGACTTGCTGACCCAGCTTTTGAAACAGATGCTCCTGGTCCCCGATGCACAGTGTGCCCGTCAACGCCACGCGTTTGATGTTGGTCCATCCGCCAGAACCCACACTGGCTGCGACTTCGTCCATCACATCTCGGTAGCTGGCATCCGAGATGAGCGTGTGCGCCTCGTCCATCACCACGGTGCGGATGCGCTGAAAGCAGACCTTTCCGTGTAGTGATTCAGATCCCACGCGGACAAACATGTCGGTCGTAACGATGAGCACGTCCAGGCCATCTGCCACCTGTGTAGAGGGACCAAGCCATCGCTGGGCACTGTGACCTGCGCCTTGAAATCGCCGCAATAAATCGTTGGCCACGGCCACAAACGGCACAATCCACAGCACCGTACCGGCATGCGGGCGACAGCCCAGCTTGGGCAGGGTACAAAATGTTTTACCCATGCCTGTCGGTGCAACAACAATTAGCCATCCATCTTCCGGCCGGTGCTGGTCAATGGCCGCAGCCAGGTCCAACTGTTCTTGGCTGTTGAAACTGTGGCCCCACGAGATGCTCGCCTGCTTGGCCAGCTGGGTCATGTAGGGTACGTCATGCTCGGCCCTCGTGTTCATGATGATACGCCCGTTTGCCTCGGGCGAGAGGTCAGTCACCGGGTTCCAGCTGATGGGATAGCGAGCTTCCAATGCTTCTTG